TGTGTGTCTTGCTATGTAGGGCTCTTTACTAGACAGTCGTCGGCTTTTGTGCAAATGTGTGGCTACTACTGCCAGTACCTTTGAGAATATTCTTGGAGCTGTCAAGCTTCCAAACTCTAGCACTCTGAACTAGAAGTGTCTGTCTTTTATTGTAAAACGGAGGAACCTCCTGTGTGCTAGGTGTATTGGTATGTGGGAATAAGCATCCTGGAGGTCGAGGGTAGACAATCATGCTCCTTTTTCCAGGGCAGGTATAATGGTGGCCAGTGACCATCTTGAAACATTGGTATTTGACAAAACGGTTGAGCTGGAGGAAGTCCAAAATAGGTCTCCAGCTGCCCAACTTCTTGGTGGTGAGGAAATAATGGGAGTAAAAACCTTTGTCTTGCTTTACTACCTCTTCTATGGCGCCCAGCCTTAGGAGATGTTATGCCTCTTGTACAAGCAATTTCTCGTGAGAAGAGTCCCTGAAAAGGGATGGGCAAGGGTGGTGGGACAACTAGGAATGGGATGCAGTATCCAGTTTTCACAATTTCCAGCACCCATGTGTCAGTGGTAATGGCCAACCAGGCTGGATAGAAGTCAGCTAGTCTTTTGCCAAATACTGTGGACAGTTTGGACTGCTGTCTTGGAAATTTTGGGGACCCTCGACCAGAAGTTCAAAATTGTTGTCTGGATGTTGATAGTTGTTGAGTGGAGGACTGATCTGAAGCCTGTCTATGTCTGTTTTGCCTTGGTCGGCATCTGTTGTCGTACTGTCGTTGTTGTTGGTTGAATTATGTATGTCTGTATCTTTGGTGAAATTATTTGGGAAAACAGGAATTCTGCTCCCTTGGGAACGACATAGTATTTTCTGTCTGCTCATTTGGATGTTGGGGAGATTGTGGCTGGCGTGTCCCATATATTCTTGGCAGGGTCCATGAGTACCTTGTTCATGGGGATGGCCAATTTTGCATGGAGAGATGTGCGCAGAATGTTTGTAAGCTAGTGTTGCATCTGCGGCATATCTGAGAGAGAGAGCTCTCTAAGTTGTCTACCACTCTTTTGAAAAGCTCTTGGAATGACTTAAAATCATCCCCCCGGTTGATGGTGGGGGCATGATCGTATCGTCAGGGGTTGTGGATGAATTATAGGTGGGTAGGGAAGAGGGTGATCTCTGATCTTCCCTGGTAAAATTCACATCCTGTTCTTCTGAGTCTAAGATGTACTGCTCTATGGACTGCATTGTTGGTGCATGGGACCTTGGTGCTGGGGGTGTCTGCTGTGGCTGTGTAAGCTGTTGTTTTCTATAAGCTGCCCACGGGTCCCAGTTAGGCATGACAGGTGGTGGAAGCCACTGAGGGAGCTGCCATTGTTGATTTTGTTGTTGAGACTTATGAGAGGAGTGTCGCAGTAAGTGTGGTGGTTTTGACACATCATCTTTGTCATCACTAAGTATACAGGCAGCTGAACTGGCTGGCATAGCTGAGAAAGGGCACTTTGAGGTGTTTGGGGTACTGTTGCTGCCAAGAAGAGATGTCCCTGGTACCAAGTGTACTGAGAGCTACGCTGCCACTGTAAAATACAGTATCAGCAGGGGAACAGGTAGTAGCAAAGGGAGGGGAGCATGTGGAGTACGCCGCGTCATTAAATGGAACATCGGCTGCTTTATATGTGAGGCCGGCTCCGAGTGATTTTGCGGTGTTGGCGGTGCTAGCTCAGATAAAGTGCTGGTGCCCGGTACTGCCTGCTAGCGTTGTCTCTTTTGAACTGTGGATGGTGCTGCAGGCATTTGATTCGGTGCCACTGAGGAGGCTTTGTGTTTTGCCTCTGACGGTGTCTTCTCTGAGGCACACTGTGTGTGCTTGGGGTCATGGCTTTTTTCCTTTCTGGGCCCGCTGGCTTGCTGCTTGTCCGACCCTTTTTTTTAGTGGGGGTGCAGTATTGTTGTGAGGAGCACGCTTCCCCGGGGAAGAATCAGTCCCTGAGAAAGAATACGACCTTTTCTAAGGGTTACTATTTTCCCAGTCCTTTGGGCTCAACCCGGAGGGGGCCGCTCTCTCCAACCCCATCCCAGGTGATTTCTGTCTGGGACTGATAGATTGCTCAAGGTCAGAAGCCAACCGAGCCTTTTTCTCCATCTGGAGCATTTTCAATTGTAGTTCTCTCGATCTCCTGGATGGGGTTGCCAGCTTCTGACAAATGTAGGCAGTGCCAAGACAACACACGCACTGTTCATGCCTGTCTAAAATTGAAATGAATAGCCTGCAGCCCACACGCCTTTTAAACCCAGGCGAACCCAGCATATCCTAGAGAGCCAGCAATAAGCACGGGACTGGTATGTCCCTTTAGGTGCTTGTTCAGCAAGGGTCTCATTTTTTTTTAAATTTGTTGGTAACGACTAAGAGGAGATTTAACAAGAATAAAGTAGGAAGGTTTTCCGAGGTAAACTACCTATAGATAGGTAAGTAATGAATGAGGTAAAGGGAGACTGCTGACTGCGGTTGAGAAGGAACTGGGGGAGGAGGGCAGCTGTGCATGCACAGTAGCCTCTTTAGAACACACACCGGCTCTTTGTGCGCATGGCTGGCCACGGACACCTCTGTCACAAGTCTCCGATTGCAGGTGCAGAGGTGCTGACGCACCTACGGTGGAGCACCCATGGGGACACTCCTCGAAGAAGAACTTGCAGCACTGTGGCAGGGTAATCGATGGCACACACTCCCATTATAGCACCACCCCACCTTGCCTCAGAGTACATCAATCGGAAGGGTTACTTCTCCAGGATGCTACAGGCACTTGTGGATTACCATGGGCATTTCACAGACATAACTGAGGCGTGGTCTGGAAAAAGGCATGATGCATGCATCTTCAGGTACCATTGCCTTTACAGAAAGCTGCAGGCTGAGACTTTCTTTCCAGACCAGAAAATTACATTAGGAAAAATGTCCTGTCAGGGTGATTAAACACTAGAATAAACTGCATAGGGAGGTTGTGGAATCTCCATTTCTGAAGATATTGAAGCGCAAATTGGATAGACATCTATCAGGGATGGTCTAGACAGTGCCTGGTCCTGCCGTGAGGGCAGGGGACTGGACTCGATGATCTCTCGAGGTCCCTTCCAGTTCTGGTGTTCTATGATTTTATGATTCTATACTTATTCTTAGTCAACAAACTGGGGATGAAGGATGGGTCACTCCTATGTCCATGCACCCCTCATCTTCGACCTGAATGTGTCTTCCTCCCAAGAGAGTCTGGCACTCTCCTCTCTTTACAGGCCTTATTTAGATGTCAGAAAGATTGACCTGTCAAACGAGAACAGGCATCTGCATAAACCTGTAGCAGGGTTTGAACTGAGGATTTTCTGCACCCTAACCGCATAGGCTAATTTTACAGGGTTTCCCAACCTATGGGTCAGGATCCAAATACGGGTCGCCATTACATTTCAAAAGGGTCGCCAAGTGTCTCCCCAGATGGCTCTGGCCTTCCTCCTCCCTCTGTTTTTGAATTGCCTTGGGTAACCAAGTCTTCCTGAATTGTCAAAATAGGTCCCCATCTGGAAAAGGTTGGGCACCGCTGAAGAAATAATCCCATTAGCTGGTAGCAGTAATAGGCTGTAACCCTCTAGGGTAGCTGCCAACAGAAGGCACGGAACACAAGTTTGACCAGTGAGTCGCACTGAGGTTCTAGAAAGGACTATTATTGCTAAAGAAATTCCCCCCTCAGCAGAGCTGCTTATGCTCTTCTTCTACTCTTTTCCCTCACTCGAGCCCCATAAGGCTGAGAATATGGGGAGGCAGGGTGAGAGACATGAATTTCCATAATGGCCAACCTTTTTTGCTCTGGAGCTGGACACACCCATGCTGGCAAGGCAAGAGTGACCAGAAACTTCTTCAGAAATGCAGCAAGCCCGGAAAATTTGCATTAACCACTGGCATAAAGCATCATCCCCAGGGAAAGGGCACATATACTCAGGGGAAGAGACAGTGAGGCGTTAACGAGAACGGTTCCTCATCAAGGTGACAGAGAGTATGTATACACAGCAAAGAAAAACCCACCGCTGGCCCATAGCATCTGCCTCAGGCTTGCAAAACTTGGGCTGCAGGGCTTTTTCATTACTGTGTAGATTTCTAGGTTCAGGCTGGAAGCTGAGCTCTGGGACCCTCATACCTCATAGGATCCTAGACCCCAGGCTTCAGTTTAAGCCCAGATGTCTACACAGCAAAGATATAGCTTCACGGGCCAAGCCCGTGAGCACCAGTCACCTGGCATAGCCAGCCATGGATTTTTATTTTCAGTGTACACATACCCAGAGAGATGCACACATATCCCTCCAGCTGAGTTAGAGAACTCAACAGCTAAAATATAACAGAGTCAGCTAACCTACAACAAATGTTGGGGACTCCTTCAGGAGGGAGAATAGGGAAAAGGAATCTCTGTGCATCCAGCACTCAAATGAAGCTGAGCATTCAGAGCCAAATGCCACCTGCATACTAATCATAACAGCTTCTGTTCCTGGTGGGACAGCCCACTAACCCAGCACTTCAACAAGATAGTTCTTGGAACTAGGCTTCACCTAATTAGCATCATCACTGTTGCTGGGCCTGCACCTACACCCAGAGATTTTATTTCCACTGAAAGCAGAGAGTTGCTGAAAACACAAGCCAAGTTCACCCTGAAGCTGATCCCAGCTCAATAATGCTTCCATAAAATTCAGTGAGGCTGGGCTAAGTTGCAGTATGCTCTCTTTCAAGCCCAGTTATCCTCACCTGTCAGAATAACTATGATTCACCCAACTCCCAGGCAAAGATGTACCCTAGCTGCAGATTAGAAACACCTCCAAAATCAGAGGAAGTCAGGATCCATGATATAAAGCTAGGAAAGCCAGAAGCTGAACCAAATATCACCAGTCTTTGTGGACTGAACAGTCCAGGTCTGGAGCTAGTTGAATAGTCAGAAGTACCTTCTCAGGCATCACCTCCACCACAGCCAGCTTTGATGCCCAAGGGCAGGCACCTTACCTTGGGTCAGTCGTGTGGGCTGCTTAACCTGCAGGCCATCAATGGTGCAGGCATTCCCGCAGGGGTGCAAGGTGAGAGTTCCACACACATTCTCGATGTAGCAGTGCTCAGATGCCAACCCAGCCCCTTGCAGAACAATGTCCTTAGCTGCGGAGCCAATCATGGTCTTCCCTGCAAGTAGAAACATCTGCTTAATGCTCTTTGAGTCATAACAAGAAGATGCTTTGTTTGGGAAGGGAGGCCACAGCAGAACAAGCACTCCCATTTACAAAGGCTAAGAGGGGCCCACTCCCCATATGTTATTGGTGACAAAACCCCACTTGGTGTGCACCCCACACTGAGTGGGCACCACATGATAGAAAAGTGAGAGCTAGGCAGGAAGCAGTCCCAGTTTTCTTTGCCTAGAGGAGTTCCTGAACTGGGAGGAGGAGAGGACATAACCGGTATTTCAACTCAGTGGAATAATGGGAGTGCAGCCAGGGTTGTCGTGCTGCAGCAGAGCAAACGCAAGTTTTACCATCAAGCCATCAAGTTCTAGATATTGATGGATTCACTAAAGAGAGACTGAAACTGCCTCTCACAGCTCCTGTGCCCATTGCTCCCTAAACATACGCACAAACAACCAACCGCCCCTCACACCACCTCAGGAAATGGGGGTATCAGCCCCTCATATAGGGAATGACATAGGATCCAGAAGTCCTGTGCTCATTTCTCCAAGCCAGTGGTTTTCAAATTATGGGTCATGTCCCAGTAGTGGGTTGTGGAATGTCAGGTACTGGGTCTCATTGCTGGACGGTGATGGGGGTGCTAAGGCAAGCTACTTCCCTGTCCAGCACTGCAGACTGCACTGCGCCCTAGAAGTGGCCGACAGCAGGCTTGGTGTCTAGGTGTGTGAAGTGGGGGGAAGCAGGAGAGCACACAGGGCTCCATACTCTGCCCCTGCTGTAAGCACTTGCACCACATTCCCTTTGGCTGGGAACATGCAGCTGGTTGCTTCTGGGATGCATCACCATTGACCAGGATCCACTCAAGGTAAGCCTCTGCTGCCCCAGCCCTGACCACCCCCTCCCAAAAGCCAGAGTCCCCTCCTACACTCCAAAGCTCTCATCCTCAGCCCTACCAGGGAGCCAACACTAGCCAAATTATATTGGGTCACAGGCATCAACAATTTCTCTGGCAGAGGGCAAATGGCACAGAGATTGGGAGACACAGCTGAGCTCTAATAATCAGGGCTTGCCGTACCACGGCGAGCCCTGCTCGCCAGCCGCGCTGTCCGGCAATCTGCGCATGCGTAGATCACCCAAACCCGGCTTTTCCGGGTGAGTAGATTGCATTATTTGTCGAGCCCTGCTAATAATCATGTGCTGATCTCTATAACAGGACCATTCACAAGGGCTGCCAGGAAAAGGTGGTGGGATGTTATTTGAGTTTGAAACTTTTCAGGAACTTCCAGCACCTCTCACTAGAATCTAATTCCATCTGGCTCTGGGTTGCTGAGCTCACGTAAACCAGGAATATCAATGTAGACATTGACCCAAGTCCTTGCAAGGTAAGAGGATGTGGCGGTAAGAAGGATTTAGTGCCTATCTCTGGGTATCCCAGCTAGATCCAGACTGTATCCCAATGACCACCATCATTTTCAGTGGAGTTCCAGACCCCACATTCAGCATCCTGATGTGGCTACTTTAGTGGGACTTGCTCAAGGGTTACAATCACACAAGTGGATCATCACACAAGTGGATCACAACAAAGCCTATGCACCTGAAAGCAGGAGGAGGGGGCAAGGACATGGCTGGCAGCAGGAGTCAGCCCAACACAAACAATGATGAGCAACAGCAAAGGGAATCCCATAGATGAAACACTGCCTTCAGCCTATGCATCAACTATGGTGGAAGCCAAGTGCAGTGCAGTGGCATCTTGAGTGCCAGGCCATCAATTGCTCTGTCTTTTGCTGTGTCTCTCTCATCTGGGCTACCAATGCACAATGTAATCTTTCACTATCTATACCAGACAAATGAGGCAGGCAGGAGATCCATATCAGATACTGGGGCAGGGAAGGACTATTAGCTCCATTTAGCAATGGGGATGGAGAAGGACAGGCTAAGATTCTCAGAAGTGGTAACTTATTTGGGGGCCCAACTGGAGACCCTAGAGATGACTTTCAAGGGCACTGAAAGTCAGGCCCTAGAATTTCCAGTTGAACCTCCCAAATTAGTAACCACTTCTTAGACTCAGGTCCAAGGTTCTTAAAATAGTGCATCCAAAATTAACAGTCAGTCTGAAAACTGAGACTTAGGAGACTTGCCCAAGGTCTCACAGCAAATCTGTAACACAGCTGGGAATGAAACCTCTATGCTTCCTGTTGTACCCTTTACAAATACAACTCTCCAGTTTGGCTGGCCCATGATGTGATGGTTGGTCCCTACCCAGCGCAAGACAAAAAGTGGGACAGGAGAGCAAGAAAAAGTGACAAATATTCCCCCACCTCCAGCTAAACACCTAATCCCTATCAGCCTTGGCCCATTGTCACAGCACAGGAAAGGGGAACTTACCCTCCTCTAGGGGCAAGAGGGTGATAGCAGTGCTAAGCCGGCCACTTCCCAGGCTCACCAGGTGCGGCTTGTCTGTCTGGACCTTCAGCCCTTTGCCCATGTCTATCAGGTCCAGAGGAGTGTTCTGTAGGGAAGGATAAAGCAGAACCCCTCGTTAGAATATGCTCATCACTGGACTAAGGGGATAGGATGCTGGACAGAGCCCTGCCTAATTGGGGAGCAGAGAGGTTTTCCACTCTTCAGGAAATGCTGTAAGGTTGGAGAGTCACGGTTAATTTCTGATGGACCAGCATCCACAGCACAAAAGCCACTCCAGCTGGTACCTTACTGGCAGCATCAGTAGAAAGGTCAAGGGCTAAGTAGGCCAGGAGCACTACCCTCTCTTCCCACTCCTCGGCTGCATCTAGACTGGCATGATTTTGTGGAAATACTTTTAACTGAAAAGTTTTTCCGTTAAAAGTATTTCCACAAAAGAGCGTCTAAACTGGCAAGGATGCTTTTGCGCAGAAAGTGCTTTTGCACAAAAGCATCCATGCCAATCTAGACACGCTTTTGTGCAAGAAAGCTCCGATGGCCATTTTAGCCATCGGGCTTTCTTGCGCAAAAAATTAAGGTGCCTGTCTACACTGGCCCTCTTGCGCAAGAGGGCTTATCCTTGAGCGGGAGGGTGAAAGTATTTGCGCAAGAAGCACTGATTTTGTACATTACAAAGTCAGTGCTCTTGCGCAAATTCAAGCAGCCAGTGTAGACAGCTGGCAAGTTTTTGTGCAAGCAACTGCTTTTGTGCAAAATCTTGCCAGTCTAGATGCACCCCTCCAGTGCAGGCCTGGCTGTGGATGCTGACCTCACCACTGACCATTTCTGAGGTAAGCAGAGGGCTCCAGAGCTGTCAGTCTGGCACCAGAACATATATACAGGGAAACTGATATGGCACCACTGCTGCAGAGGAGATGATTCTTGCACTGGAAGCACCACATATGTGGAAAAAGGAAGACAGGAAATAGGGGTGGTAGGAGTCCAGATCCACAGGGACAAAGCTGATGCATGTCTGGGGAATAGGCAAGGGCTTACAAACAAAACCCTGAAATGAGGAGCACGATCAGCAGGGCTTCTGACAGGCAGGGGTGGGTTATGTTCTAAGGACTTGCTCATACATTGGTGGCTTGATGAATAGGTCTTGCGTGCAGGAGAAGCCAGACCTGGAAGGAACATTTCCAACCAAGACCCCACCATGCTGAATCACTGCTCCAGAGTACTCACTGGACAAACCTTCCCTTGCTTGGAGAACTAGGAAGTGACAGTGGGGATATGTAAAATGTCAACCATAACCCCACTGAACACTTCCAGGCTCTGGGCCAAGCCTAGCCACGCCAAGAAGGCATTCATCTCTCATAATTTCCAATTGCTGAAGCCTCTAAATAGGAGAGGCTCTGTAGGCTCCTTTGCTGCAGCAGAGCTGCTTTATCTCCTCAAACATGCTGGTAGAGGGATGGACAGGGAGACAGACAGGTCTCTGTTGTGGGTTGGCTCCTACCCAGCAGCCCCTCTTCAATCAGTAATTCAGATAGGTTCCTCTCTGTTTGCACTTTGCACAGCAAAGGTGGATTATAAATATTTATGAGCTCCTTATCTTTCTATTCTATATGACAGAGCAGAGTAGAAGTGGGTCTCACAGGATGGGTGGCTGAAGCCAGCACGGTTGGGCTCTCCCCATTGCCCTGGGCCCCTGACTTTACCACAGGTAAACCAGAATCCAGCCAGGCTTCATGTAGCTTGCAATCACCTGCTTGCATGCACACACTCAGGAACACATGTAAATGAAATGCATATGGATATGCCTGCAGATATGGATGCAAGAACACACACAAACAAACCTGCAATCACAGACTGCTGGGCCGCTGGCTCCTCACTCTGAGAGTGTCTCCCTCAACCCTTTTTTCAGAGCACAGAGAGTTCCCTGTATGGGCTCCAGACAGCGGGTTAGTAAGCTAAGGAATGGACTCCCCAAATGTGGAGATCTAGAGTTTTGGACTTTCCCATGTCTCCAGACCACAAGCCAGGATGGCTGTGATCTTTGCTCTGTGCTGCAGACTTGGGGAAGAGGAAGCTAGAAGGATGAAAAGAAATAGCAACAGCAGGGGGGATTTAATGGGATCAGGTTATTTTTAATAGGATCCAAGGTACTAGCCATTTAACCCAACTGGATTTACAGCCAATCTGATAATAGGATTGGAAGAAAAGGCCCAATGGCACTCAGGAGGGGGCAGCACCAATCATCCATGCCTTTGTCTTGAGGCTATTCAGAATATCAAGATTCCTTCAGAGTTGAGCTCTAATGGGGAGTGGAAGGTGGGAGATGTGGCACAGACATCAGTTGACCCCATGCCATTTTCCAGATTTAGGGAGGGGGATCATGCCTCATTGACTATATAAACCATCAACAGCTTGTTACAGTGACGGGACCGCTATTCCTGACAGAAAAGCTCTTCCCATGTCCCCTCTCCACAAGATCCCCCAGAAGCCTTTAGGGGCAATTTGGTCAAAGTGCAAGGACATGGATGCTGAACTGTCTAACATGTAACCAGTGAGCCCAACCCCCACCTCGAATTGGGGTTTGGCTCATAACCGAAACAGGACAATGTACAAAGCCTGGCCCAGGCCTGCGAAGGGGACTACACTCTTGGAAGATTGCCAAGTCCATCTCCCAGTACTTGGGGCATACCCCTCTTTGGTTTTGGGGATGTCCTAGTTTCCTGCTGGCCCCATCACTATGAGGACCTAAGCAGCCTGTATAGCCACTCCTCCCAACATTGGCTCTGAATGCCTGTCTAGGACCTTTGCTCATTTGTGACTGCACTGCTCAGTCTCTGGTGTGATGGAAGGACAGGGCATAAGCCTCCAAAGCTATCTCAGTCTGCCATCCCCATCACAAGGTAGGTAGCAGTGCTGAGGCACTAGCGGGAGATGCTGACCCTGGCACACGCTCACCTGAATGACTTTGTGGGTTGGGCTGGAAATGTTCCTGTTTGACGCTTCCATGACTGCTTCGTTAATGTGCCCGGTACTCTCTTAGGAAAAAAACAGAAACAGAGTGGATGTTAGAACTTGAGAGAGCCCCCCAGGGCTATTCAATGAAAGAATCAAACTAGCGCTGTGTAGGAATATGATGCAGAGACAAAGCTCTTCCTCCCTAATAGGGTATGCAGAATTGGACTATTGAAACACGAGGTCACAGGTTGACAAAGTTCAAAATGGCCTAACAAGCATAGGTGAGTGATCAAGTGGTCCCATTATCTAGGCCCAAACAATGAAAGGAGAGAATGGTTTAGTGATTATAGCAGGGGATGGGCAATCAGGATGTCTGTGTTTTATTCCAAGCTCAACCTTTGGTGTGTCAATTCACTGCCCTGGGATTCAGTCTCCCCATCTGAGGGAATCATACCCACCTAGTCATAAGCTGTCAGAGCTCCTAGCCAGTACTTGGATGAAGACTGCCAGAGAAACGCAACATGTCATCAGCAGTACACATTCCACATCCTGCTGCTCCCACCTACCCATAGACACAAACAGCTTCCAAGTATTTACCCAGCTTCTGCATTAGCATTATTTGTTTCTTCTAGAAATAGATAGGCTGTGTCTAGACTGGCAAGTTTTTCTGCAAAATCATCTGATTTTGCGGAAAAACTTGCCAGCTGTCTACACTGGCCATTTGAATTTCCGCAAGAACACTGACGATCTCATGTAAGATTGTCAGTCTTCTTGCGGAAATACTGTGCTGCTCCCGTTCGGGCAAAAGCCCTCTTGTGCAAATCATTTGCGCAAGAGGGCCAGTGTAAACAGTACAGTACTGTTTTCCGCAAAAAAGCCCCAATCGCGAAAATGGTGATTGGGGCTTTTTTGCGGAAAACCATGTCTAGATTGGCCATGGACGCTTTTCTGCAAAAAGTGCGTTTGCGGAAAAGCATCCTGCCAATCTAGACGTGCTTTTCCGAAAATGCTTTTAACGGAAAACTTTTCCGTTAAAATCATTTTCGGAAAATCATGCCAGTGTAGACGTAGCCATAGGGTATATGAATCCCAGTACTACAGAGACACTGGATTGGGAGAGGTTGATGGCTGCAGCACTGAAAGATGGACACTAGGGGATATCATTTCTGGCTTCATAACGTTGTATCAGCTAAGCTTTTCATGACAAGAGTCCCTGAGCTTTGTTCCCTTTCTGTCTGCTCCTGGTCAAGTCAATGGGGAAAAGAACACACAAGGGCATCTGGGTTGAACCCCAACTGAACAGGGTAATTCTTCACACATACCCTGGTAAAGGGTCTCAGCTAATGTAAAACGACAGTGAGCGGCACAGATAACCACAAAACATAGCAACTTAAAGCCCCATGTATAGAATGTTACAGAACATGTGTGCAGAGCATGGGATACATGGCCCTGTTTCACCATTCATCCCAGGATCTCCCAGCTCTTCATAAATATGAACTATGTTAGCATCATAAACCTTCCACAAGGCTGTCAGGAGAGGCGTATTGGAATGGGCCTGCCAATTCTCCAGTGCAGCAGCTCCTTAACACCACTCGTGCTGACAGTACAAGAAAAAGAATCTTCTCTGCCACTGAAACTTCAAGGAACAGTCGGGAAGCAGCAAGCAGTATCTCTGGGTTAGAATGGGGACAGAATACCTCAGATAAGAGCCCAAACTCATACCATGGATGGCATGAGCAGCCAGGTGTTTCAAATCTCAGCTTTAAGGGTTATATTTAATGACAAGAAAATACTTTTCTGCTAAATTCCTGGTTCCAGATACTCAATAATTGTCCCAAAATTGTGTTTCCATGATCATCCATCCAGAAAAAAAAATTAAAAATAATGAATAGTCTTGCAGCACCTTAGAGACTAACAAATATGTAGCGATATTCTCTCTCACACATATATTCACTAACATGCACTTGTAAACAAAAGGCATAACTACAGAACAGAGAACAAAAAAAGGGGTTTTAACTGAACAACAGTTTTGCAGAGACTCATTTTTAAAAATTTGTATCACTAAAGATACATAGAGAAAACAATCATCAAGGAAAACACCCAACATCGGGGATGTAGGGAAGGAGGGACAGATGTACGCACAGTACAAATGACAATACATCCATGCTAACGCAGCAGCCCACCACACTAGTCATCGGGGATGTCGTGCATCAGCCAATGTCTCTAAAGTGCTAGCTAGGGAACCAGCAACACACACGCATTCATATGTACACACAGAGCTCCTGAGGCCCTCAGCATGTCTCACATATATACACAGGTACACACACCCAGAATCCCGATTTCAGTTCCTCCTGCATTACCATCCTGGGCAGGGTCTTAGTTCTTGTGGAAAGAATTAAGTAAAGCAGCTTGGAAAGGAAACTGACCTCACAAGTCAATGACTTCCTGGACTCTGGAACTCAGACCACTTTGGCCAGTTTAACAGCCTGAGCCAGGCTAGAATTTCTAAATTTGCCCCCTACTCCATGCATCCCACATTTCCATCTTTAGATCACCCTATAGCAGAATGGCAGCAGTAACCCTTTTCTTGCAGGCCTGGTCTATAAGAGCTTCCAGAGCAGATCTAAGAATGGACAGTTTGTGAGTCAGAGACTTCACCCCATTTGGCCTGTGGATCATTGGGTCCTGTGAGCTCCCCCACTCCAGACCCCATGGCTCGTGGGATTAAAACATAATTATAAGGTCTGTCCACAATTTTGGGGTGTCTTAGTGCAGGTTAGGGGATAGAAGTCTGCACTTTTAGCAAGAATCACTTTGTAAGTACATGTACGTACAAAGGCATAGGTAGTTTCAAAATAACGTTAAAGGTTCTGGAGAAGGCTGAGATCTGCTGGGCCTTTCGGCTTCCTGCTTCCCAGCAAGAGCCACAGTGCTCTCCTTTAACACTAGCTCTTTGGCCAATCTGATGGAAATTCTGCAAATGACGGAGCCATCACTTCTTCCACCAGGAGTTGCAGATAAATCAATCAGATGGAAGAGCATTGTACTGGGTTGTTCAGAAATGGAAAGATGCACCAGACTATTGAATCCCCACAATGCAGGGACTCAGACAGGGATGCCAGACACTAATAGAACTGTAGATGGACTGTCCAGTAGGAATTAGAGTTGCTGGTCACTGTTGTGGGGGGGAGGAGGCAGCTCTGACCCTTCTTCCCCAACCAGGCCTCTGCTCTTGTAATACACTATTTGGCTGATATTAAGGAAGAACTACATCATATATGAATCAGTAAAAGCGGGACACATTGTATGACAACAGTTCTCCATCTACAGGCTTACATTGCAAGTGATAGTATGGACTTAGCCTTCTCCTGTTACTCCCAACAGAGAACAAGGTTCATGAATGTAGCCACTGACATTTCCAAGAGTCCCAATATGCTTTCATGAAAACACACTGAACTCTACACAGGGCACCTGTGCTTTTTCCTCTTACCTCTCCTTCTAAAAGAACTCCCTCTTCCCCGTCCACACATGCCTTTTTGCAAAAGAACTTTTTCGCAAAAGGCTTCTTCGTAGAATGAGGATTACCAATGCTGGAAAAACCCCTCCGATCTTTCGATTTTCTTGCGGAAGAATGCAATTGCAGTGTGGATGTTCCTCAAAAACGGACGTTTTTCTGACAAAACTCTGTAGTGTAGACATACCCTCAGATGGGTGAAGTCTGGGCTTCTCCTACTCGCCCTAGAGACAGAGCTATCTACAGGCTGCCCTAGCAATCCTAGCTCCCCAGATCCTCAGGCTTTGACCAGTGAAGCAAGGTCAAAGCAAGCATGGTTAGCACAAGCCATATCCAGAGTGAGAGTGTAACCTATACACCTACTGTCCCATCTATTGGCACGCAGACCACTTACAGCGAGAGAGCACGAGTTTGCTCTACAGTCTTAGCTGAGAGCCAGCTGGCTTTTAGTTCACATTGTAGAGGTTCATGCACTAAGCTCCGGAGGTCCCAGATTTGGTTCTGCCTGCTGGTGTTACAAGAGTACATAGGCCAGCCGGGAAGAGTGGGAACTGGTGGGTAGTTATTACACATTGTGGAAAAAATGAAAGGCTGGAAAAAAGACAGTGGTGACTCCAGGGCTAGGAAAGAACAAAAACAAACATAAGCTCACAAGCCCTGGTTCCCTCCAGAAGAGGCAGCAGAAAGAGTACTACATCAGGGAGCAAGACCAGACATAATGCAAACCCAAATGCCTATATTGGCACAATTTTCATAACAGCCCTTGATGACACCAAGAAATGCCAGGCTGCCCTCTAAGCTGGGCTCCGGGTATGGAGCAAGGGAACTGAGCTTGGAAACATTATTTGTAAAAGGGCATGAGATTGGACATGAAGCTGAATGATAGCTCTGGGGTTAGAGTCAGAAAGATTTATGTGGGTCTGGCTGTCAGAAGGGCTGAGCTCCTGCCTCTGTAAGCCACCACAGCTGGACCTCATCTCACTGTCTGGGCAGTAATGCAGTGCTGTTTCTTTCACTCCCTATTTCTCATATGTAAGCCTACACCTACTGAGGTACAGGACTAGCCCTTGCTGCAAAGAGGGCCAGTATGTGCAAACAAGTTGGAGAGGGGGCACTAACTCATTACTACCAGGGCTTCTCTCCATTTGCTGCCACTTTCCCATGGCTGCAAAAGAAGTTTCCAATCAGCTAAATGAGATTTCCTGTGTGGGCTGTGCAGCCAGGGCCTTTCCTGTGGGACGTGGCACTGGGAGTAGAGAAAGGAGGTAGAGGAAAGATGTGGCACTGGAGTCGGGGCAGGGGAGGCAGAGTAGGAGATACAGTAATAGGGTCAGGCAGAGGGAAACGGGGCATCCACACAACATATTAAGGGAGCAGTTTGGAGCTCTCTAGGACATGCTCAGCCATCATTCGCTACTATGCAGCTGAGCCTGCCCCAGCCACCTATTGGGCCAGAGCCACCCCATATATTTAGTGGAACTCTCATTGAGTCTTGGCTCTATCCCCCCTCAAATCAGACTTTGAGCCCTCATGCTGGCAGGGGAAGGGCCCTATTAGAACCCTGAGCACTAGGAAGGACTAGCCTTAGCATTTATTTGATCTTCCCGTTCCAATACACACAAGCCATACCCCGAGCCACAGTATGGTTTTGAGGACCTTACCTGCCCTTGAATCCTCACCTTGGCACTGGGCCAAGCATCAGTGGCACAGCATTCATGTCCCTGTTCTTTGCTCACACTACAGCCTTGGGGCACAACCTACTCGAGCTGCGGGAGAAGTCCAAGAAGTCCAAGAAAACAAGTATGTACTGACAGCTCCCTGGGGAGGCGACAAGACATGCCAAGGCAGGAGATCACAATAAGGAGAGCCAGGTCAGCAGGGCCCACAGCCGCCCTAATCCCTACTCCCCTAAAGCAACCGCAGCCAGCTGCAAGTTCTTGGCTGCAGCTGGGCCAGAGGAAAGGCAGGCAGGGGGCTGGACTCTTGAATAGGAAGAGAGGGAGGCCAGGATGGAATCCTGCTTGGAGATTAACCCCTTCCAACCACAGCAGGCTACAAAATTCCAGCCAACTCCATAGAGTCAGTGTTGGATCAGGGACAAGTGTCACACTGGGCCATGGTCTGGCACCTTCCACCCATCTGGACATGGCAGCACCAAACTCACCCAGCTCCCATGAGGCAGGTACCACCTTTACAAATGGAGGGGGAACTCCAGCACTGAGAGGGAAAGTAACCACAGCAGTCTATAACAGAGCTGGGGATAGAACCCAGGAGTCCTGTCTCCCAGGCCTGCCACCTTAGCTCTAACCACTAGGTACCTCTTCTATCCCAGAACCAGAACTAGAACTCATGAGTCCCGACTCTCAGACTCTCCATACACACAACCCTTCGGCTTTAATCACTAGATTCCTCTCCCCTCCACACATCAGGAATAGAATCCAGGAGTCCTAATTCCTCTCCCATCCCTCTCTAACTAGAAGACAAGACCAGTTTTCTTGCTCTCACACTACCTATCAGGCTGCTTCGCATGACCCATAATCACAGCGATGCTATGATCCTTATAAGAGATTTTACTGCTTTCCAGAGAAGGGGGATACTGATTCCCAGAGCTCTCCACAAAGATTTGATGCTATCTCCCCTATCCCAGAGTCCCAGCTGGAATCCTTGCGGGAGACAGGCTATCTCCAAGGCTCTCCAAAGAGAGCACCCCAGTGCAAGGAAATAAGGAATTGGGGACCCCCCCGCAGGGAATACTTCATGATTCTTCCACGCCCCCCCCATCCCAACCCTTCACCTCACCTCCAAGAAGCCCCGGCACAAAGGGTGACTTCTGCTCTTCACAAGCAGACTCTGTTCTTGGAATGCTAGCAAGGGAGGAAGGCCCAACCCAGATGAGTGCCCCACCTCTGACAGCAACAAGGCCGCCTTTCTTCTCTCACAGCAGCCTGCAAAACACTTCACTTGTTCCTGACACGAAAAGAGGCACAAGCTGCAAATGCCAAAGGGTCGGGCTCAGCTACCACAAAATAGCAACAGTCACCAGAAAAGCAATCCCAGAGCTTTCCCATACAGCATGGACCATGCTCACCCCTCACACTCTGCCTGCTTGTTCCCTTCCTTGGCATCCACAGGGCTCCTGTCTTCAATTCCCACAGAAATAAATCCCTACACAAAATTATTTTAAAAGTTAAGAAAAAGCCCTCTGTTCTTTCCAAGAAGGGAAGAGGTGAGTGTGGGAAGAGAAGCGAGGTGGAGGTCTTCACCTCAAAGGAAGGAGGATGGATGCACGAGGCCATCCACAAAAATTAACAGACTTGCTCAGCCAGTACCATTCAATTCTGACTCACACCCTCCTAAGCTGCCTCCTCCATCCCACAGCTGCAAATTCTCCTTAATTCCATCACATAACCTTCTTGCTAGTCCAGCACTGGACCCCCCCACCCACACACATACACCTCACAGCTCTGCCTAAGTCCCTCATTTCAACCAATAGTTCCCCTACTGCTTCAGCACTGGGATCCTACCCAGCTCTGCCACTGCTCTCAATTCTGTCCTCTATTCCAGCCCTGGGATCCCTCTCACATCCACTCTGCCAAATCCCTTACTCAGGCATAAAAATGTACTATATATTTGAGAGAGTTTGTCTGTCTGAGTAAATCTGTCTGTCCGTCCACTCTTTTCAGTTTAGAAAAGAGGAGACTAAGGGGGGATATGATAGAGGTCTATAAAATCATGAGTGGTGTGGAGAGGGCAGATAAAGAAAAGTTATTTTTTAGTTCCCATAATAGAAGAACTAGAGGACACCAAATGAAATTAATGGGTAGCAGGTTTAAAACTAATAAAAGAAAGTTCTTCTTCATACCGCGTGTAGTCAACCTGTGGAACTCCTTGCCAGAGGAGGCTGTGAAGGCTAGGACTATAACAGAGTTTAAAGAGAAGCTAGATAATTTCATGGAGGTTAGGTCCATAAAAGGCTATTAGCCAGGGGATAGAATTGGTGTCCCTGGCCTCTATTTGTCAGAGGCTGGAGAGAGTTGGCAGGAGACAAATTGCTTGATCATTGTCTTTGGTCCACCTTCTCTGGGGCACCTTGTGCTGGCTACTGTCGGCAGACAGGATACTGGGCTAGATGGATCTTTGGTCTGACGCAGTACGGCTGTTCTTATGTTCAAGAACGCCTCCTAAACAGGAAAAACTTAAAAAACAACAAATAGACTAGCAGCACCTTAAAGACTAACAAAACATTTAAGGTGCTACTAGTCTATTTGTTGTTTTTTAAGTTGTTCCTGTTACAGACTAACACAGCCACCCCTCTGAAGCTTTTCCTCCTAAATTGTAAGAGCTAGGAACACCAACTCTGGTATGTAGCTTACTCTTATCATGACTTAAACCAAAGTAAGGATTTGGTTGTGCTGGGAGCTCCTGCCACCCCGATTTGTACAGGGATGCATAAAACCATACCGAAGAAAGACAGATTCACCAGGTAGGTGAAAGGAGCTGGATGGAGGTACATCCTCCCACTTCCAATACTGCTCCAAGCCCTGAGTCTCCCACCCCCTAGGAGCCCTTTAGAGTGGAAAGGGGGGCTGGAGCTCCCCCAATTCATACAGGAATATTGCCGGCTGTTCCACTTCATCAGGGAGCGAGGGGAAAGTGCCCAGTTTGCTCCATTTCTCAATCTGACCAGGGAGCATAGGGGGCAGAAGAACCTGGATCTGCTCCATACAGGGGACACGCAACCCTCCACCAACTGTGCCTGCTGGAGTTGCAGCGGCCATGGAGAGGTGCTTCTCACTTGGCCCCAAGCTGCTGAGGTTAGAGAGGGCTGGGGAAGTCCTTTCTCCTTGGGGCAGCCTGCATAATGAACCCCTCGTCCTCAGCCCCACCCCAGGGCAATGATTTAAATGAAGAAAAACAAAAATGAATTGAGCGAAGGACCTAAGCAACGCTGGGTAAATCTTCTAGTTAAAAATATTTTACAACCCAAGCTGGGGGTTGCACTCAAATGCCAGTGAACCAGACAATGCATGGAAGGGACGGCAGGCTGAAGCATCAGGTAGAACCAAAGGGGCCAAGTGGCCCTGTGGCTGAATCCCTTCTGCTTTTTTATCTTGGGCTGGGGCTATCAGTGGCAACACTCTGAACTGCAATGGTAGGGGTGGGAGCCTAGTTTTGCTTTGGGAGGGTAGGGGAAGGAGGATTGCTCCTGGAAGGCCTGGCCTTGGGCAAGGCAAGCAAGGAGGTTGCCTTGGGCCCTGCACCTTCTGATCCCTGTGCTGCCTGGCGCCCACCCACTCACTCACTGCCCTGGCTGGGAGCCGCCCGGCTGTGTGACACAGCCAACTGCCTTGGGCCCTGCAAACTCTTTGTCCAGGCCTGGCTCCTGGGTGTCTCATCAAGTTTGTTTCCCTTTGAGGCCTCTCTGGCTCATTCAACTCAGATACTGCCTTCTAAGGTGCTCACCTTTCCTTCTTCCTGTGTATCATCACATGAGCCTCCAAATGAGGTAGCGACAGTAGCTTTGGGTAACTGCACTCCACTCCAAGCAAGAGAGAAGAATGCATACCACACCTCCAGCAACTCACATCCAGCAAGTCATTTCCCTTCTCTGTGACTGAGTTCCCCCACTGGGATAATAACCTTGTCCTGCCTCCAATGACACTGTGATCCTGGGTTAGTTTATATTCATAAAGCACCCCATAGAGAGGACTTGCTATTATCTTACTTAAAACCAACAAAACACAAGGGGAAGATGCTCCCATTTAATTGTATATGCAGCTATGGAGCGCAGGTTGGACTCAGCCTGCAAACACACCTGGAGTATGGAGGTGAGGGTGTGCCCAAGAATAGTATTTGGCCATGTGTACATCTACACACACCATGTGGAACCTGGACAATGTCTATCATCCTCTAATGGCTGACTGTGGATGTGTCAAAGGGAACACATTGGAGGAGAGGACCTGGGTAACTCACAAGGAGTTGCAGCATCCTAAGTTATACATATACCATGGAATAAAACATCCCTGACTTCTTTCTTCCCCACACCTGCTATTCCCTTCAGTGAGTCACTTGGAGGCAGTCAGAACAGCTGAGTTAATGGCTACACCACCCAGTATCCAGACCCTGCATTCAGCTTGGCTGCACATTCATTACACATCTGCTAATGTGTTTAAGGAATCAAAGCTGCCACCCAGTCCCAGTGAGCAATGGGCTGTTCTGCTTCCAGCCTGAGAATGTCGGAGGCGGCACATTGTCTTTAAGACAAACGTGGGCGGGAAGGGGACTTGAGCCAGGAAGCCCACAGTAACTAAATTGTAGCAAGGGCCTGACAGGCAAGGACTAATATGGAGCCAATGTCGCAATGTCTGAAAAATCCTAAAGCCAGTCGCTGTGACTAGGCTAAACTCAGATTAAGGATATAAAATCCTGGTTATAAAGTTAACCGGTTAAATGCAATTTTAACTGATTAGCCATGATCCCAAGGCAAGGGGCTGCTCCAACCTGCCTGGGCCCGCCATGCTGCAGGCTGTTCTCACCAGGCCAGGCAGAGTCTGCCACACCATGCCACAGGTGAGGGAGCTGCTCTGGCCAGATGGGGCATAGTCTGCCACAACGTGCCACCGGCAGCGGGGTTGCTCCAGCCAGACTGAGTCCACTGCACTGTGTTGCAGATGCAGGCTGCTCCAGCGAAGCCAGACTGAATCCGCTGCACCATGTCATGGGCAGGGCAGCTACTCTGGCCAGACCAGACCAAGTCTGCCATATTCTTCACACAACACAGTCCCCCCATCCCCACCGATTAGCAAAGGAATGCATGCCAGGTAACTAGTTAACCTTTTACATCCCTAACTCAGAAGGGACAGTGAAGGAGGGGGAACATATTTGGTCAAAACAGACACCATACCCAATTTGGAATGAGATTCAATCCAATTAAAACATGGAGCACACCTCAC